ATATATATATATATATATATATATATATATATGACGGCAGGTCCCCCGCACATCTTGTGGTATCGAAAGGAAATGTTGATGTCCCATACCCTGTTCACTCTTCTTGAATTTTATGCCGTTGAAAAGCATCAAGCCTTTAAAGCCGAAAGAAAGGTGGAATCAATATTTTCTACCGATTCAGGAACTAACCAGAATATATTCCTATTATAGGCTACATTTCTAGGATAGGGCTTTCCGGCTTTGTTGTGATTGATACGCCGCGCATATCTGATTTGCTTTCTCATGGTCATGTCCACAGAATTAAGGTTCATTTCATGTTTTGCTTGTTTGCCGTTTCGAGTAAAGAATTGCAGGATGACTCTGGGAACTTTTATGTGGGTCTTCCGTCTTGCGCGCAATTGCAATTACGGACATCGTTTCTCCCGGATGGTCTGACTTTTCCGCACAAGTTTTGTCGTCTTTGAAGGCGGATATTTTATGTGTACGGGTTCTTGCAAAAGTGATAGAACCTGCTGCTTATGTCACCGGAATACCTCAGCTGCACTCGTCCTGCATGGCTTCTTCCACCGTCTCCCCCAAGACCTATACAATAAAATTTCACTCCATAATGTCAAGAACATTAGTCGTGAGATGACGCAGAGCCTAATGTCATTGGTTCAGGCACCTTTTATACAAACTACATTTGAATAGGATTAACATAGGCTAGTATATATGATGTGTGGGCACCAGTTTTTATACTGGCCCGTCACATCTAACGAAGCCGACAGGCACCCACACCTATTGAACAATTCCGCATAGTGTTCGCGCTGAGCCGCATGTGCATCCGTTTGAGTACCGTGTATCCGGTGTAGACCCGAGGGAATAACACCATTGGGTGAACAGGAGAAGGTGTTCCTAAGGCCATCAACATGGTCAACTGGTGTTCCACAACTGCCAGTTCAACTATCCACAACCGAATTTCTGGGCCCCATATTGCATACAAATAGTTATTACCTGGCCCACACTAACCATACCCATCCTAGGTGCATACATCTGCCTGCATTCTTCATCTGGGTGTGTACAAGTCACAGAGGGTAACCTATAGCATGGTTGTAGGTTTAACACTCCAGACTGACCATGAGACATTTTCATATCATTTGGTACATCAAACGCCGTAAAGACCGGTTTTCTTCCTCCTCATCACTTTGCAATATCCAGCGTCTTGAAACTTGCCACCTTACCTTAGTCTGTCGAATTCTCAGAACGCTTTTGTTTATGCAGAACTTCGGAAATACCTGGTACTCAAATTTTCACTAAATAAACCTGTCATCTTCGGAGCACGTATTTTCTTTTTAGATGCGGCCTTCAGTATATTCCACTTTGTCAGAGTTTGCGGTAACTCTCCAGGCTTTCGGGAAACCTACCAACGGCTTCAACTATGAAACGATCCCGACCAATTTGTTGCACTGTATCTGCTGTGCAGTCCGATTTCCCTGGCTCTGATAGTGATGGTCATCTCATTGCCTCAAACAATCGACTGGTTGGCTGGTATCAAGTGTATACCTCATCACCGCCTGATGCGTTATAAACTGTATCTGTAGCTACAACCTTGATTCGGTTGCCAGTGAGATAAGTGGATACTTAGAGCACACGTTATTTCTTGTCTACGCGTGTCTGAAGCCATTCAGTATGTCAAGATTTTACGATAGGCACTTTACGATAGGCCCCGGGGGTATTCAAAAGAGACCTTCATGTGTTATACGAGCCAATGTGGCCTGATTAATTACCATGTCGTTCATATTTAGGGGTTAAGTATATTTGCGCTCGTTTTTGACCGTTACTTGGAACATGTTGCGTATAGCTGCATTTGTTCATTATGCTTTGAGGTGCTAGTTTGTTTTGCTTCTGAGATCACCGCCGTCTTCCATTCCCGAGTTCCCCAGTCGATAGGTGTTTCACTGTACCGGTGTCTTTCAGCCTCATACGCTAAAAGTTACTAACTGTTTCATGAGGATGCTATTTCTTTCCGAAATGGGCATTCTGGTGATATTGTTTCCAACTAGAGGGGTTCTTTTAAGAGAGCTCCTTTTCGATGTGACGGCGATTCCACAATATATTCCCTCGTCACTCCACAGATACCGTTTCAATTGCAGTGCATTGTTACTCGCCGGATAATCGGAAAGTTCTGTTTAATTTCTTTTGTTCCTCCAAGCACACAACATATGGATTTGATGTTGGATCTTCGAAGCAAACCTGAAACCGATAACTCAAACGAATGTTCTTTCCGTTCCTTACCTCCGCTGGCGTGGGTTGGATTAACCACTTGTCGTCTGGGCATGTTGCCCCCAGGTCGTTCAATGCCCCTGTCGTTGAGTCTGATGGCGACTGTCCCTGGTCTTCAAGTGGGTGCTGTTCGTTTTATGATTTTATTGTCTTTGATACTGTTTATTATTCCCCATATTTAAGTGATGTATATGTTGTGGGACGAACGTTCCTTTGATGCTTCAGATGATCAATTTGTCCACGCTACTTGCAGTACCACTCAGTAGTCTGTATTCCCAATAAATTGTATTTACAATTTGCAGCATGTCTCCGGCGTCCTCATTCATGAAAATACGACGGAACGGGACTATGAGTTCGGCGACTTGGGCCAAGTACTCGTTTGCTCCTGATGCACCGCTCAGAGCTTCCAGTTAACCATCCTGGTCATTACAGCTGAGATGTGACTCCACTGGTGATCTACCCCCCTGAAACTACTTGGTCTTGTTCACCCAATGCTCTCTTCTTGCACTTCATATAAGTTGTTCACGTGAAAGATGGTCGAGTTTGGTCTTTCTCTGCAAAGTTCAGTGGGAAAAGCAGATGAAAGAGAATGTGAGCTTCACTGAGGGAACCGTCTCACCCAGAGCAGCGGTGAAAATCTGTCAGTTGTAACATGAATTGTTTCCAACACTAAGATTTGTGTTAGTGCCCGATAACCGAATCCTTGCAGGTAATAAAGCTAAGACCAATATATGTAACTGCTTCTGGGAGGTCCATATCAATGTGACGATGATGTCCTCTCAACTAGAACCACTGAATATAGCAAGGTAAAATAAAACTATTGGGATTTCTGCAGATTAGGGGAACAGGTAGCTTTCTCAGTCTGTGTTGGAACCAACTGTTGTCTCCGTTTCGGGGCCTTATTATCGTAAAAAATTCATCGACAAGGAACACAACAGCTTTATTGCGAATAAGCGAATGCAAAGTTACAAAGGGCCTGTGGCCTGATAGGCTTTGGGTGAATACCCATCGTTGTGGGCCGTGTCTCTATGATATGCTTGAACACTCATCATCGTCGGCCGTTGCTTAATTGATTGACTGCTGGAGCGTTCAACCGGAAGCTGTCTTTTCTGGCCTGTGAGGTTTGAGGGTCTCAGTAGGTTTCCGGCCTTCTGGGATTATTTTCAGGAATGTGACCTTCCAGGCAGTCCGAGAGCATAAGAAACAGTAATGAGAGGAACGAAGGTAGCGCCTCCGGCCTCTGCGGAACGATTTGGCAAAAACGTGCGGTTAGGATGTATAGAAAAGGCTGGTTGTTGCGTGCCAATATATCATGGAATCAAATGAATGATACTAGGACATAATTCAAATCACAGGATGAGGATTCCAAACACCGCTGGTTCGTCGCTGTGGGGACACTAGCGCTTTTTGTCAGATGCCTGGTGCTTGTCTATGAAATGACTGGCTTTTGCCATATTTGGCGCAAAAACATTCTATCTAGGCCTATTCCACTACTCTGGGGTATTCAGTCTGACAAATAACTAGTCAAGACCAACCTGTGATGATGAATAAGAGCGCACCAATGAACACGGACTCTCGGTAGAGTTATTTTTTCTACTGAACATAGTTCTCTCATAGACGAGCTGTTTTCACTCGGAAATCATTTAGAACTCTGATCTTTATACTGCGTATACGGTATTGCGAAGCTCTCGGATTAGCAGTTCTATGGAAAATTCTGACACTCAAAGGTCAAAGTACATTTCGCGTCAGTTGTAGTACAATCAAGCTAGCAAAATGCAGTCCGCTTACATTCTATCGAACTGTTAAAGCCACTAGTGACTAACACAACGTGGATGAACCAATTAGTTTGCCGGACTTACCGTAGTCGATCTCTGTAGTAATTTACCAGTATTCAGTACTAACGTGGCTCTGCCTCTGAGCAGCACCTCAATTTCGAGACGTGCTGATTTTGTACTCTGGCTTGTGTCATGCTCTCAATCGGAAAATTCTGTGAGATATGGTGAGCTTATTCCAGTATTCTTGTAATAGGTGATATGGGCTGTAGAAATGCACACCAGGGGAAACCCTCACATGGTGGCTTGAATAAGCCACCACAGCTTTTCACGTCCGTAAGGTTTATAGAAATATTCTGCCCTCGAAAGAATGCCACACTTCAGAGGAAACTGAAAAGCTTCTTATTTTGTTGTCCATGTTTCGGATCGGAATGCGTTGCGCGTGTGATTTCAGCTTACAGAAACGTGTTCCATCTTCTCGAAAATCGGTGGTGATTGATAAGGAATAGAATTGGTGATCTCGTCATAAAATCTATTTTTCAGGTACATGGTTATCCGGTCTATAACAGTAGTGATTTTAAACAGCAGTTTCACTTCCCACTGGAAATTGAAATGCCAAGTGTATTTGGCAACAGCAAGCCTCGTTTCAAAGCTGAGTGATTCTGCGTGCGTTATTTATAAAGCTATCAACGCAATCCAAGACTTAGTCAGAAATGACCAAATTGTTGCTACCTCTGTGGTAACAACCAACTTTCCGTTTCACACTGAAGTGCAACAACTTTTAGAAATAGATGACATAGTCTCCAATGCTTTGAGAAGCAACGATACTCTGACATGTTAAAAGGCATCTTTCAAAGGTTTAACTGTTATCACAAGCTTAAGAAGTTTGTCCTGCGGCCACAGCACAATTCGTAATGTCGATCGGTTGAAAACTAGACATCACCATGTGACTCGATAATACTGACATATTCCGGCGAAACACCATTTTCAAAGGGTACTTTATTTTCGAGAACCTGAGAGTTTTTGGAAAACGTTCAGGGATGTTGAAGACTATATAATGTTTCCTCATGAGTACATGCAGCTGTGGCAGGGCAAACAAATACGAGTGCACTAGCCACAACTATGGATCACCATACGTTTATTGTTTGATTTTCTGTCTGATTGTTTATTATACTCTGTTCTTAACATGTTGTTCAACGCACTGATAGAGCAAAGAAGTTGTGTGAACATGATTTCCAGATATTCCGCTATGGGCCAGACTCAAACAGAAATGCAGCCGGTCAACCGGATGCAATACTGCGATTAACGATTTGCGGAGATAATTATACGTAATATTTTGTTTATTTTAACTGCTTTCCGGTAGATCCACTCGTGAAAACAAAAACGTAGCCAACAAAAAGCTTATGACAATTTATTTCAACAAAATACAAAAAACCCACAGTGAAAATAATTTTGGTGGGGAGAGCGGGCGGTAGTAGAATCTATCCATCCAATTTTGTCTATCTAATTACTGTTTGAGTATATTCGATTTGCGTGAAGTCAGACGCACCGCTACGTGCAAACCGCTTATCCCAAAGTAAAGATGAAAAAATATGGTGGAATGACAAACACGCGTAGAATCGCCCTACTATGATGCCATAATAGTGATCACTCGCACTGGTTTGTATTAAACCAAGCTGATGGTGGCATAACTCATGTTACAAAGAAACACCACACTTCCTCAAAACGAACCGTAGTAGATTCATCCTCTCCGAAATGCCCACTAAACGTTATTTGGGCGTGAATGAATTTCAGTGTGATAAAGTAGAAGTTGAGTGACTATTCGTAATACCATTTCGGAGGAGTACAGTGGACTCGAGTAGATGCCGGCAAAAAAGCAGGGTGAACTCAGCTCAGGAAACTTATTTCGTCAAGATTTAGTATACTCATTGTTTGTTAGTCCCACTCTGCTTAGATGTGTGCACTCGTATGTTTTGTGATTCTACGCCCATGCAGTTACACCAGATTTTTTGAAAACAGACTTGCGTTCCAGGATTGAGGTACATTTTACCTCAAAGGTCTTTAAGTCTATGGAAGGCGGCTCGCCAGGCCGTTCTGTCAACTGCAGGATTTCTCCGGGGCCCGATCTCAAGAACGCAGTCCGCAACTGTTACCCGTGGCTGCCACTTTGGTGGAGTTTCCGTCATCCTCGATTTTAAGCATCATTACACAAGAGAACGATTGGCGGTTTCGGGACACAACTTCTGAGCATTCAGCTCACGTAGCAAAAACGGCGAATGTGTGTATGTATCCAGGTGCATTTAGTAATTCCGGGCTCCGTCATTCCAAACCCTCCATTTTTTCAAGTCGATTATGATTAAAGTGGACAATAAATCCAAACAGCCTGGCGTGGGTATCATAATTGAACTCTTCCAATCATTCTGAAATGTCGTTGGTGGACCTATAATGTGTTGTCGTGTGGTATTCAAGATTTTGCAACCTACCAATACTTTCGGACGCTTATTACGCCCGTGTGTAATGCATTTTGCTAACATTTAATTTGGCGTCAAACTTTGGCCGGGAACAAGGTTCCCCAGAACCAGCTGAAATCCACGTGGTACACTGCTACAATTTCTGATTTAAATGAAGCTTTCAAGTCCCAGGAAGTCCGATAGAAAGCTAAAAGTGAACCGCATTTAGCCAACGGTGAGCTAATACCAAAGCGTATACAGTTGTTAGTAACTACAGTTCTGTCGTTGCATGAGTCACGCACCAGAATTAATACACAAAATTTTTGGATTCAGTTGTTGATATTGTGAGAATATTTGGAGATTTCATCGGAGGTATCGCCCACCCTCAATCTACCGAAGAACGGGAAAGTGCTGCATTATTGTGGCGCTCTCCTATGCGTTTTTTCAAGAAGGAAACGTTCCAGAGATGACCACTGAGGCGGAATCAGATCATTACGCGCTCTTCGCTCCCACAGAAATCACTGTCATTTTTGGAACAAAAAGAACGGATATTGGAGCAACCCTGCTTCACGCTCTAACCAACCTCGAACTTGATAGATTCTGTCCACGAGGAAAAAAGGGTTTTCAGTGCTGGGATGAACGCGCGCATGCAAAAAACAGTTCCCAGGACCTCTTCGTGTGCTCAGTTTGGGCTCCCGTGTAATTGAGGAACGAGGGGTATAGGGGGAAGTTCCACTCTTAGCGCCTTCGCTGCCGAGGTAATATCAATCGCATAGTGTCTCATCCGGGAAGTCCATGAAATTTACATCCCAAACTCTCGGCGCTGAGAAAGGTGAAGAAAAGGCAGTGTCATAATCATGTCGACAGTGACAACATAACCACATTGTCACCACTTTAGCATCTACTATTAACCTTTTGTCTGAAAATCGGTTTAATGTTGAGATTAGTGGAGTGAGATGGTTGTTTAAAATCCGCAAGCAATCTGTTACAAGTTTCCCTCTATCTGAAGCTCATCAGCTAGGCGTAGTAACCAAGGGCTAAACCATTCAATTCCTCATGTGATCTAGTTTTGTGAAAGAATTATCCTCAAGCTCATAGACCTGGAAGAAAAACTTTAATGAATATATTCGCGAAGAAACCTTGAGGTAGCCTTTGTGTTGCACATTATGTGCAGAAATAACAATGTGCTATTGATTGCAAGGGACTCCATCGCGCCTCCAGCTGCATGCATATGAGCTACCGGGTATAACGCTGCTTTGCTCACCAGATGCATTTTGAAGCAAATCGCACTCTTGGATTTTCAAGGGTTC